GGGCAATTTGGAAACCTCAGTGTTTAATATAGCGAGGCCAGTTAGGTTAGGTTAGGTTAGGCTAAAAGAAGAACTTCAGCCTGACCACTCAGGGTTTTTAATATTGTTTGCATGCACCCTGGACCTGACTAAAATTACTATCCCGAAAATGTTTGGGGATTACTTAATAATCATTAATGACACCCTTCTGATTCTGACTCTTCCCTAAAATTACCTAAAATGTTGCACAGTTTGTTATCCGATTTTGTAATTTCATGTTTTACTTGTTGTTGTTCATTTGTTGTCTGGATCGAAAATAGTTCTCCTTACTGTGATTGTTCAACTCAATTTTATGAAGAGATCAAGATGTTCTAATTACGTTCACAAAACGTAGATGTGGAGTATAAATGTTAGTTTCTGATACGTAGGGTCCGCTAAACGCATATCCCACGGTACTTCCCTCTGAAGGCTATTTAAATACATTCGTCGGTCAGATTAATTTAAGGAGCTGCTCATAGCATTTTACTCTCCGGAACGTGGTTCGGATTCAAAAGTACATAACAGAATTTCCTTGTATGTATCTTAGTGAATGTACATATATCATGTTTATCATATAAAACGAAAATGAAATATTATAACACTTTTCCGCCGTTTTATACCCTTATTATTCATTGTGAAAGTCTAACGATAATAACGGAATTCACCGCTAATGAAATCTCTCATGTAGCAATTGCTATGGCGAGTTCGTGTTTTGGGAAGATTATTTATTCCTCGTTGTATACAGTTGAGATGAGCAATATGAAGACTGATTGATACTGATTACTGATTGAAGAGGTAATCAGCAGATGATTAATTGTCATGTTAGAGTAGATCGGAAATCATGCTGATTTCCCTAATTATGTTGTGCCTCCACCTAATTTGGTTGTCATAACTGTTTCTCATTCAGAATTCGGTTGCTGAATTTTTTACCTTCCAGTTTTATTTAACATATCATAACTAGTAAGTAAGGTTTACGTTTGGTTTTAAACGAACTTTATACGTATTTTACTTTGCAAGTACTTGTGTGTTAGTAAAATAATTTTCTGATTTATGGAAGCCCCCATGTTTAGTTACTCAGGGTTGTCTGTATTTTAGAAAACGTAAATATAGTACGTCAATTGTAATGGTAGATAAAGTGAGTAGGTGGCCCAGAATGTCATTATAGTTTTTATGACATTTTGGGTTACCTTATGAACACTTTTAAATGAGTTCCCTGACACATGTTTAATTTTGATAAACAAACCTCTTTTTAGCTTGAGAAAGCTATACAAATACTTTAAATTTTTTACTAGCCTTTTTACTAGGAAGAACTAATGTCAAGGGGATAACAGTCGGATTAAGATTTTAAAGATTAAACAATTTTTTCAATTTTTAAAATTTTGTAATTTTACTGTCAGTTTAAATATATTTTTGAAAAGATGAAATTACAATCTTACAAGAAAGTATTCACATTATATCCTACAATAATGATGATTTGCTTTGAGAATATTTTTATGTAAAAAGGTTTTCGAAATTAAACTCATCTAACCTCGATTATTTTGAAAGATAACAAAGATCAATCAATTCACTATATTGCGACGTAATGATAACTCAGTCCTGTCAAATACCTGGTCTCAGTCAGTAACGAAGCTAAAGAGAATATCTCATTACAGTATTATTATACTCTCACACTCCATTATATTCAGCAACTAGTTACATCCTGAAGTTGTCATAGTCTCAATAAGTTATTTGTAAAAAAAAAATGACCAAGAAACTGAAAGCTAAAAAGGAATCTATACTGCGATCAAGAATGAAATTTACTTTTCACTATGTGAATACAAACATTCATCAAAAAATGAAAAGGTAAAGTACAGCCCCCTCCACTTAGTGTTGACTAAATGTCAATGAAATTCATATAAACAAAAACCTACCTATCAGATAAAACAGCGGCCGTTGGGAGCCAATTATGAATCTAATCACAAAATGCTCATGGAAAAATAGCTCTCGATTGTTCGTTGTGTATTTTCCACCCTCAACTAACCATTGTTTTCTACACGGCGTGTTAATAATTTAACACGGGTGCGGTTAGGATGAGTTAATAAGTCCCGGACACAATGGCATGATAATACACGCAACAATACGCCGCAAATACAACATTGTTTAAAGCTCGCTATTCAAATTAGGTTGAATCGCCGCTGCGGATGTCCAATATGTCTATTGAAATATTCATCGTCCACTTCCACTCGACCTGTTTTTCAGTCGGTTCACCCCATTAACCCCTATGGTCGTTGCAACACTTTGGTTCCCGCTCGTTTTGGTGTGAAAACCGCCAATTTGCAGCCAGTGGCGTGTTGGGATGATTTTGAGAGATAAAAGACGTTTAGGTTGAACGTGCTGCTATGTTTTGAACTGTATAAGTCAATATATGTGAAAAATTGTACGATTATTTATTTTTTCCGACATTTAAATTTTGTCGTTGTAAGATCATTAACTTTATTTAACAATTTTGTTTTGTCGCAAGACGATAGGCACGAAACTGGGATTGTTTTTCACATTACTCCCCCGCTAGACCTAGGGGTTAGATTTAGATTTAGATTTAGATTTAGATTTGTTGTCATGAGAGCCGAAGCCCCCTGACTGCTTACCCGGTACCTATCCTTCAGGACATACCCGGGCCCCATGATGTAGGCCGAAGCTTACGCATCAACCTTTAGCACATCATGGGCGGATGACTTAAGGTCATCAGGCTCGCCGGCTGCCGAAGCAGACCCTTCGGAAAGAGGGTTGCCCCTCAATCCTAACCAGGGATTCCGGCTGCTTGTTTAAGCGTCACTCCACCTGGGTTCCACTAGGTCGGAACCTAGAGGTCCATAGTAGAGCGCCCCGACGCATTTAGTGCAAGCAACACTCGGGACCTATCTCATCCCTGACAGGCAGAACCCGCCATCAATAGCCAGGAGGAAGGGGACCATCAGCACGCTGACGGGGGGAACCCCAATCTCCCATTTACACCGCTGCCCGATCGAGGCCTGACCCATTGCTGGGAACCAGAGATATCCAGAGCGATAGATCCCCAGATACCCCTGGCGGGCTCGGACCCAGCACCCGATCTACTTCGTTTGCCCGTCAGACCCAACATCACTGCCAGGCCATCAGGGTTTCCCAAAAGGAGGCAGGTATAGAAGTGGGACCCACCCGGATGAACCTATCCAGGGGTGCCCAGAGGGGGGATACTGTGGCGCGTTTGCGCCACAGGAATTTTTGGGGGGGAATTTTTTTTAGGAGATTTTGGGGGGGATATTTTTTTGCTAGATGTCATAATGAATGTATAATTTTGTATAAACATCCCGAAGAAGTGTTTCTTAGTTGCTCACTATCAACACTAACAACATTTTACCGTTCGTAATTAAGATTGCTTCTAAGAATGGTAAAAACACACCTTGTCAGAAAAATTCAAGATAAATTGATTGATTAAGTCACCACACATAACTTGAGTCTATGCTAGCAGCTGGGAACTAGAGATGCTAAAACACCTCTTTAGGCGAATATTGGGCTCTTCCAGGTGGTACATATTACTATAACAAGAATAGGATTTGTTTATAAGCCATTAACACCGATTTGAACAAAACATTGTAAAATCCTTTATCAAACAATGGGTCGCTAGTGGCACTCACGCTACTACCAGGGTCGCTTCTGGCACGATTTTGGCTGGGTCGCTTCTGGCACGGTCGCTTCCGGCACGTAATCTTTTGTACTGGTGGCAATTAAAGAGATATTGTGGGTATTTTGCCCGGCGATTTTTGTAGAAGGCAGCCTGGGAGTGGCGAGCAACAAGTCTGTCTTATTTCGTGACTCTGCCTATAATTTTGAAACAAGATACTTTTTCCAAAAGTATTAATGCACTTAAAGCGGTTTGAATTTTGCATTAACGCCACCTAATATATTGTACTATTACAGTACTGTGTTGGAGTAGAGTAATTCACCGAGTATATTTTTGTACATTTTGAAGACGTTGTCTATTGCAATACTGAGCACATGTTGGCTGACAATACAGATTCTGAATTGTAAATTGAAAAACTTCTAATCCGTCTATTAGTTAGATATAATAATGTATTGTTAAATGACGTTTCCTATAAACATTTAATTTTTATTATCAGCAAGTTTGTTTTTCGTACCTCAAGTTTACTGAATACTTGAAATGCTCGTTTTATGAGGTAAAGGGAAAATTGTCATATAAATTGGTGGTGGGAGGGTAGTTTTGGGTTTAAATATACGGCAGCATAAATTGGGGGGGGGGACTACTCCTTTGGCTTGGGGGGGGATTGCGCCTCTGGGTTTGGGGGGGATGGGCACCTCTGAACCTATCCACCAGTGGTGGCGAAACCCTTGACTCAATTGAGGTTCCGGGAAGAACCCCCCACACTCAAGACCTAGGGGTTGCGGCATCATCACTTAGATAAAATCCATTGGTAAATTTGCACGGACTGAAGTCCCGCGCTCTTACCACTACGCAAGCTCGCTCCGCCAACTTTATTTAATAATGTCAACTGTATATTAAGAAAGTTGATAAACTTATAAATATTTGCACCTTATAAATATTATAACTTATAAATATTATAAATATTATAACTTATAAATATTATATATTTGCACTTCTAGACCAAATTAGAAAAACAAAGTGCAATGACTCTTGCCCCCAATTTTTTAATGTAATAAGTTAAGCGGTAGATCAATGGTTATAAGTGTTTTTGTAGCCAAATACATAGACACAGTCAGCTTGGTTAAAGTTATTCGATGTATTTTTGGGGTTTTCGTAGGAGAAAAAAAAGCTCCTTATTTTATTCTTTTAAACGTAATTTGTCCGGCAATTAGTTTGAAAGTCCTCTCAGGCGATCGGCGGCTTTTGAATTTTCAGCTACTTCGTTTACTTCTACTATTTCCGTCTAGCACTTTCAACAACTTCACATACCACTTTCAATCGTCTAAAAGATATCTTTTTCCAGGTGTGGTTCAAGAACCGGAGGGCCAAGTGGAGGAAACAGAAACGAGAAGAGCAGGAGAGACTTCGAAAACTCCAAGAGGACCGACCATCGCCGTGTGCCGAGGACCCTCGCCTCATGGGTACCTCCGTGGACCTTGGACTTCCTCATAGCGACGACGAATACCTGGAAGTCGCGTGAGGTCTCCAACCTAGGCCGTCAGCCTTTTCACCCGTTACCAGGAACATCAGGGATCTCCAGGACACCAGGGGGATCCAGCATCTCCAAAACCTCCAGAACGTTTATAGCATCCATAACATTTGGAATATCCAGAACATCAGGGATATTCGGATCTGTTCGGACATCCGAGGTATTAGAAATTTTCCCAGTTTTGAAGATATCCAGAAAATTCATCACTTCCAGTCCATCAAAAATTTGCAAGGTTTCCGTAAATTTCAGAATATCCAGGAAATACAGAATTCAGGAAATATCCGGTCAACCCATGCAATTCTGGAACCCCAGGAGAACAAGAACAAGTACATTCAACATTTCCGGAATACCCGTGAAACTTTGGATACACAAAGGGTTTGTGATCATACTGAAGAAAGTGGAATAGGGAAATATGGAAAAACTCTTCACCGAATGTCTGGAAGGGATAGACGATATGGGATATTTAACTGAGTTGTAGCATTGTTGAGTTCCATAATTAAAGTTTTTTTATTGAAACAAATTTTGTGCTCGAAAACAATAGATATTTGAAAGACATAAGAGAAGTTTTCTAGATTATATTCTTAGCCTACCTTCTAGTAGACTTCTGGGGTCGAAAAGACTGTAGAATCTTGTTCTTCGACCACGCCGTCAAACTGACAAAATACTGGTTAATGTTTAGAATTCGTGGCAACAATTCGGGCAAGCAACAATTCAACTGAGATTCTACGAAGATGGATTACTTCAATGCATCTGTGTTGACGGCTAGTATTTCCGCCAGTTCATATTCCACCAACCGAAATCAAATCCTCCTTATTAGTCAAAACGTTTTCCTAGATTTTCAAAAGAATAAAATGTTTATTTGACATATCTGACCCATTATCTAAACGTTTATTCTGTTATTTATCTCTATCAACTTTACATATAATCTGATCAAAGATCGTTCAATGTGTTCAACACTGCATCAAACTTCACATTTAGTTTAATTACAGACATGTGGTTCAAGTGATGGGCCACATAAACGCATTTAACCTTATTCCTCATAAAAATGTTTTCGTAAAAATCCCTACCAATTCGGTTAAACTATCGTGTAAATAATATTTCATCGATTCTCAATGTATTAGTATATGGCATCGACATGCACATGTTAACTTGTATATAATGTTTGTTAGTTTTGTTAAGATATTTATGTTCCCAATATGTACATTTGTAAATAATTGTAAGCGTGCAATATAGTTTAAAATGTGTATTTATCTTATACCTGGCAGTTGCTGTGTTCTGTAAAGAGTCCATACTTGTAATTCAGCGTTGTTCTTGAATTTTACCTAGATTTATTTATACGGTTTAGTGAATTCCAATTATAATTTATTATAAACCATGTACTTAATGTAAACCTGAGTGTTCATGTGATTGTCACGTTTCATGTCCACTTTGCGGAAAGTTTAAATCAAATTTATCATGTAAAAAAAAAATTTAAATAGGTAGTGAAAATAATTGAATATAGCTTTAATTCATGATACTTTTCTGAACCTCTTCAATAAATTATTGTTTACAAACTTGCATTGTGAATTGTGTATTGACCCTATCAGTTTGCTTATGATATTGTTAGTTTGTTAAGCTTACAATTTTGCATACTGGTCATTAAATATGTTTAAAATATTTGATTGGCTGCAGGTTAACTGAAAAACAGACATAAGTTACTTACGAGCGATGCAATAATTTTTATATTTTAAGCTATAACAATCTAAGTAGAAAATTTACAAACGTGTTTATAAACGAAAAAATTTCTGCTCTCAAGAAGAAACTGAGAAACAGCCTAAAAACATTTTACACGTAGAAAAAATTGGCTCTGTACATTACTGCACCTGAAATAGATTGATTATTGGTAAGAGTTCACTAACCAGCAAGAGTGGGCCATGGTTTCAGTATGTTATGGGGTTTTGCATTTTTATCGGGGTTTTCAATTTTTTACCCTTAATATGTGGAAATGCTTTCATGGAAAATTTAATTGTAGCCATCATGTAGAGCTTAGACAACAAACAGTTCTGTATATTGAAGCTGTGTTGCATAATTAACAGATTATATATAAATATTTAATGGGGATTAAATATAATGCCATTTAAATGGGGAATAAATATGTCTTGCTTGTGGAAATATTTATGTAAAAAAACCAATCAGACCAATTGAAACTCACTTAATGCAGGTTTGCTGCTGCGGGAGTATTTTTGATTAGCAAGGTCAAAGAATAGAGCCATCGTCAGAGTGATGATATAAATTACCGATTTTTGTCAAATACATAAGATGTTTAACAAAAATCAATATCAAATGAATCTTTATTTTTAACAAAATAATATAGCAGCATTACACATATAACATAAAAAATTATCACATGGGCTTTGGCCTGTGCGTGATAAGAGTTCATCACTGGCTTCTTAGTGGTTATCTTGATACTATTTACACAAAAAAAATAAAACATTTACACTCCTTAGTCTAATGTAATTTAAATACATATTTTAGGCGGGACGAGAATAGGAAATGGATTGAGGGCTGCGGGTTTGGACAGTGATCAAATAGATTCAGTTTCTTTTGTCAGTGTAACGCAGTCAAACCTATAAAACTACAACTAACAACAAAAACTACTGTATAGAACGACTTGTTAGCTATAAAGGCAGAAAATAAAATCAAATACTGTAGATCATGGCTAATTTAACCAAATTGTTTTAATACCAATTTTGTTACAGCTGGTCAATATAGATAGGCCTTCTTCAGTATCAAAAGGTTAACGGTAATTTATACAATTTCTTGACTATATAATAAGTAATCCGTGTAATATATACATAATAAATCAATGTATCATAATCACACACTAAAACATTTATTTCATTAACAAATTGTTGAAGTAGGCTCCAACATTTCAAACTTTCGTCAAAAAAAAATAGGAATACAGTACGTTCTTCTACGTCTCTCGCCCATCATAATAATGGTTAACATGCTTATGTGAAACATAAGAATAATAATATAATATAATAAAATAGGTGTTTTTGGCTGGCTTCTAGGAACAAAAGGAAAGCGGGTCTTGGTCCTACCGTGAGAACTACAGAAAAATGTCCCTAAAATAGGGGTAATTTGCTAAAAGACGATAACAAGCATTATTAAAATGTATTACATCAAAGAAATACAATACAATTGTTCGTCGACATGGCACGATTTATTCAAAAAAGGGTTATAAGGCAGTGCATATTTCGATCTCTATTTCACGTAAAAAATCCACCCTCATTATACCTGTAAATGAAATGAAACGCTGCATTTTGAACAATTTTGAACTTCTCGCTTTGGCAAAAAAGAAACGATTGGATTTGAAAAATAAAATAAAACAAGAAATAAACGGAAAGTAAATAAAAGATACGTCTTATAAAGCTTAAACTTTTTAAGTGTTATAAGACGTATCTTTTATTTACTTTCCGTAAATTTAATAACACGTACAAATGATGATCAAGAAGTTATTTAACAAGACAATGTTCAAAAAGTTTGATTAAATGGAGGGTAATTTTTAGAACGGTGCCTTTTTGTAACGTTGGACACCTTTATAACTTGTAATGTGATGTTTAATAGTTCTCCGACCATGAAACGTATGTATAATCAAATTTACGCATGTGCGTTTTATCCATCACCAAACAGTATAAAAAAACCTTCACAACCTCATTGAGAAAACATCACCAAATCTAGTTTGGTTCACTGACTCATTCCGGATTATTAACAATACAACTTAATAGATAAAAAAGTTGGTAACTAGATCACAACTAATTAGTTACCTAATCTTTCGCGACGGAAGCAACTCACTTTTTCGCAAGGGATTAATCACTGTGAAAAATTGAGTTTTGTTTAATCCCAGCCTGAGGCCTGTCATATTTTGGATTGAAGGTTGATCCGTTTGGATTTGGATTATCTTCGATAGTAATTGAAAACCGGGGTGCAAAAACACCTTTAGAAAGTATCGTGTTTTGATATATCGGGGTGGCTTAGCCATTAGATAATTAGTTTAGGAAGGGTGTAATGTTAGTCTAGGAAGGATCAAGGACAATCTGTTAATGATGGTTAATCCTGAGAAGATCACAAGGGTACATTGTGCTTGACTAGAGAATATGATCAGATACAAGCTTACAACAACAGTACCAGTACAGAGACAGAGATAACACAACTTTGATATCTACATTCATTAATATGCATTTGTGTAATTCGACGATACCAATTCTTCAGTTCGAGCAATGAACGACCTTTTTCATTTTTTCAAACGATATCCATGCACATTTTTTCTTAATGGCTTTGCGCTCTGGTTTTACAAAGGGTTTACAATGATTGCAAACTTAAGACAAATATTTTCTTTAATTTTTTTAATTCAAGCAAAAAATAGCTATGGGTTTGCTTTCCTTCGGTTTATTAAAACGTTTTTATTAGCTCACTTTCTTGTCCGGTACAAATTTTGCAATTCATTTTATACTAACTTCCCGATGAGCTAGAGACTTGAAACTTGAAACATAGCTCACAAATGGAAGACAATGCAATATTATATCATTTAATTTTCATATTTCCCTTGGGCTACGCCCCATGGGCTTCCAAACTTTCCTACTATCCACATATTTCTAAATTATTTTCTACTTTTTAGTGCTTCTAAAAACGTTTTGTTTTAAAAAAGTTTTTATTTATAAATTATGTTTTAAATATTTTCATTTCAAATTACTTTACGTATGCTATTTGTACGTGTAACATTGTTGCAAGATAATTTTAATTTTAAAGGCTATTTTCCCTTGAAATCACAAGCGTTATTATTAACGTGGTAATATAGACTCCATTTGTCTTTATCTGTAAGACAAATTCACACAAGAATATTGTAATAATAGTTTTATAACTAAATTATTTTATGGCAAATATTTTTATGTTGTTTGAGATTTATTGTCAGACAAATTAAAACAATTACATCATACTGAAGACGTTTTCAACTTTAAACCCTTTAGGAAAGAAATCTTCTTTTGACAAGTTTTGGACTTTTATTTAATATAGCTGTTGAG